CCCCAAAACCCCAAAACCCCAAAACCCCCTTTGCTAAAATTTTAGTTAAAGTTATCAGAATGAATAATTTGGAAATGCAAAAATCAATAATGCAGATTTTAATTATGTAAAAAGTGGTAGTATTTTTATAAGACTTTCCATTATTATTATATAAATATTTTAATATAATGGACAATTTGAAAACAGATATTCCAAATCAATAATAACAAAATCCAGAAACAGAAGAAATTCAAGTAAAGTAGATAGACAATTTAACAGTAGATCAAGAGCAGAATGCTAACTAAAATTCAGCTAATATCTCTGAAATTAGTGAGTAAAGGGCAGAGAATAATATCAAAAAGGATTCTAGTGAGCTTAGATAATCTTAAACTTCTTAGTTGGATAAAAGTTAATCTCAATAATCATCAAGGAAATATATCCTTGAGCTTAAATCAGATAAACTTATTGAAGATAAAAATTCTGGTAGATCCTTAAAATCTGAATCAGACATCGAGAATGAATCTGAATCTGAAGTTGATATTGATAATGTGTCATATAACTCATCATTAAATAGCCTGCATATGAAATAATTCAAAATTGTGAGGAAATAAGAGGAGTAAAAGGAAGATGACAAAATAGATAAAGATATTGGCTAAATTCCTTACAACGAAGATAGCGAAGATAGCGTTGAAAGCGATCCTTAGAATTTATTCAATAAGAAAAGAGATTTAGAGGATGAGAGAAAGAAGAGCTTAATCAATAATTTAGAATCTGCTGTAAGAGAGTTTATGAATGGCAGAAATTTAACTGTTTCAGATGAAGAAATTCTTAACGGTTAAAAATAGTTTAAAAATTCTGAAAAGATTCATGTCATAGGTGATCATTCCTGGTTTATAAACAATAATATTCTCTATAATATTGAACCTAAAGAAGAATATAAGAAATAAAAAGACAAGACATTAGAAAGTTTGGTTGACCAATTCGATGAAACATTTGTTCAGTTAAATAGGTGGCAAGCCAAAAAATTAAGTGATTATTTTGTCTCGATAGTTTAGCCAGAGCATTTTACCTTGGGTAAAAATTCACAAAATTTTAAGTTATCACTTTACTTAATGCCTACTTTTGAATTACTTTGTTCTCTAGATATACCTTTAAGAAGTTACAATTCAGAATTAAGATTAAAAGTTTATTCTGAGAAATAAATCCTTCTATATGATTAAACAGCAATCATCTATTTTGGACTTAATGAAAAGATGAAAGGGCATCTTGTTTTGAAGTAAAAGGATTAGCCTATTAATAATAAGATAAATTATTATGATTAGGAAAGTTAATAAGAGCATTTTTATCTTGCTGAACTCAATGAAAACATACTAACTTTTGTTGATGGCAAACGTATATTTCAAATAAATTTGAATGACTATATCTTGTCTATTATCGATCATGACATGTAGCTTTATAGGTCCAATGATATTCTAATGATTTAAAACATGATTATTTCCTACAATTCTGAATTCTATATTACAAATGTGTATGATCTTCATAGCAAAAAATCAGCTACAAGAGAATATGAGAATTCTAAATTAATAATCTATAGCTAAAATGCTTTTGTAACTAGAGCATTTGTTTTCAAAATAGAAAACCAAAGAGACAGTTTGATTAAGGTTTGGGAAATAAACAATAAAGGTAAGAATTTGCAGGATGGAAATAAGGAATTTGTTATAAGAAATTATCTTTTGGAAAAATCATTTAGAAATATGACATACTACATAGCAAAGTATAATGAAAGAACTAATTCATTTATAATCTTGGCTAGGAAAAGGATTTTTATCTTGCTATTTGATAATAGAGATATTTAAATTGTTTAATACCGATTCCCAGCTGATCTATAAAAAGAATACTCGATGGTAGATAATTTATAAAACTGTCTCTTAATGTCTGATTATCTTATCCTATATAGTAATAGACCTACAAACTCTCTTTAAATCTTCAGGCTTGATGACTACTATAGCTTAGATATTCTTACATATGAGAATAAGAAATAACCTCAAATGGAAGAATCAAAAATAGAATGTTCTATTGAGTACAAGAAAATATCCACGAATTTACATGAGGATACAATGATGATTAAATATTCAGAAAAACCAAAATGTGATCAGAGATTGTTTGAACTAAAATACTAATATTCCAATGAAATCTAATTCAAGTACTTTCATAAGAGAGATATTGTCACTAAGATTCCTGCTAGCTAACTTAACCTACTAATTTCAGAATTTGACTTTAGAAAAGATCTTTAGAAGTTGAAGTTAACATAGGACTATAAGAAATACTTTGCAATAGTTATTGATGCGAAGCGAATTCTGTTTCGAATTTCAAGTTTAGACGACAAAGAGATTAACGAAATTCCTATTTATGAAGAAGAATCAATTGACAAAATAAAAAAATGCTATTTATCCCAAGATATGAGGTAAATATTAGTATGCTACTCTGTTTAGCAATAAGATTTTAAGAAAAGGAGTATGAGTATTAAAAGAAGTATGAGCATTATTGGGGAGAATCCAGTAGCTTCATCAACCAAAATCTAAACTACTCTTATTTAATTTGATAGTTTGATGGATTTCCAAAAGGATCTTCAGAATTTTGACTTTGAAGTCGTTGACATTGTTAAATTTGATTCTGCTGAACTAATACTTGTTATATACGAAAAATCTATAACTTAATACTCTATTTGCATTCTAAAGGATCATCAAGGAAAGCATTAAATTTAAAGCAAAGTTAGCATGAACTAATATTCAAAGGATTTTTAGTAATTCAGAGAGCAGAAGATAGATATTGATCAAGAAAATTACAGCTATATTTACTAAAATAGATATTTATTCATAGATTTGTCCTTTAAGTATATAGTTTATGACATACTAAGCTAATGCTTCAAAGGTTCATTTACATTTTCAGATGCAAATGCTTTATTCTCGTTAACTCATTAACTTGGTCAATTCTATCTTAGTTTTGATGAGGAATAAGTCAAATACCAAGGACATCATAATTAAGAAATAAGAATTTTTGAGGGTTTCTTCTAATCTTTTCTAAGATTAAACAAACATGCAGAAAACTTTTAATATGATATGAGTGACTAGAAATTATCAATGTAGGACTTCGACGGAATCACTTTCGGCTAATTTTCATTTTAGACTAACCTAGAGAATTAGATAGAATTATTAAAATCGATAGATGATTAAAAATTGGACTTTTTCAACGATTTTAAAGGAGAATAATATATTTCCTTGCTAGCTAACTACATTAATTCGGCGAATGGAACATTTCTACATTTACTAGTTGGTTAGAAGTAATAAATATTAGAGACTCTCTAGAAGAAATTATTTTACATGCAGAATCCTTAGAAATATGTTCTTTTTAGCATGAATAGATAAGATCTTAGTGTTCTTGACTATGCAATAATATAGGATGAATTCCAAAAGATCAATATACTTTTGAACATCTTACTCAAATTTTAAAACCATTATCTTAGCAACTATATAGTCGATAAGAATCTAATTTATTTGATTGACAAGAACTTAGAACTCATTGATTACTTTAAAAGTAACATGCCTATCAAAAGAATATCTTCAAACCACTATCCAGTTAATTCTAAGGATCCTAAATAGCTTTATATTTCAAATTTCAACCAAAAATCTAACTTGCCTGAAATTAATTACTTTTATAAGGAACAGATCGAGATACACATAGATGAAAATACCTAAGGTCCAAGTTACAAAGTAGAATATTTACTTCCAATGATTCCAGAGACTTTATCGGATCCTTAATTCATTAAAACTTTAGCTTCAACATAAAACTAAGAGATCTTTGAGCAGGAACTTATTTAGATTATCTTGAATTTTAAATGGCAAAAATATGCTAGCAAATTTTACATTACTTAATTTGTATTCTTTTCTGTTTTTCTAATCAACTATGTTGTGGATATATACTTTTTGGCTATTTCTAAAGATGAGAGACATATAGCATAGTAAGCTGTTCTTAAAATCATAGGTTATATATACATGATTTACATGATTAATTATGAATTCAGAACAATGAGGAAACTAGGAATATATAAATATTTTGAGGATTTCTGGAACATATCTGATCTTATTATGGCATTTGGCTATATCTCAGCTACAATTTATGACTTGGCAAAGTATGATTTTGAGGTGACTATCATCCTGTACTCCATAATTTTGATATTGATATTTATCAAGTTGTTTTCATTCCTCAGAATTATTTAAGGATTCAGCTTTTTAGTATCAATGCTTAAGGCCGTTTTCATTGATATGAGGTATTTCATATCTCTGTATCTTATGGTGATCATTCTTTTTGGCTTAATTTTTACATTGCTAACAATTGAAACTTCAGAGGAGAATTTTGAATATAATGGTATTTCTTATTTTGGATATTTTCTTATGGCATTCAGAGCATCAACCGGTGATTTTCAAGTGGATTAGTACAGTAAACTTCATGAAAGTCACATTGTTTTTGCTTGGCTAGTATGGATATTTGCTGTCCTTTTCCTTAACATTATTTTGTTAAACTTCATCATTGCTGTGATTTCTGAATCTTATGAAAAGATCATGCAGAATATGCAATCACTACAATACATGACAAAAGCCTTGCTTATTTACGAGTGCGAATTGCATTTCAATTAATATGGTTAAGATAATGAATATTTTCCTAAATACTTCATCTTGAGGAAGTTGAAAGATAATGTGTTGACTGAGACTATTGAATGGTAAGGCTTTGTTAAAGATATTAAAAAGTCTATCGAAAAACAAAAATTTTAGATGACTGAAAAGTTATCATAGATTGAGAACAATTTGTAGTCTGTAAATGAAGATAATAGGCACTTATAAAGATAGGTTAGTCAAATCTAGGAAGAACTGTTTTGGTCACGAAATAGGCATGGTTAGTCTCACTAGATGTTGAGAAAAATATTGCAGAAATTTGAAAATTTAGAGATCTCTGCTAAGATAAAGAAAGAAGAAGAAGAAGTTTAATAAGTTGAGGATGCAAAGAAAGTAGTTGAAGAGGCAAAGGAAAATGAGAAAGTTGAGGATGCAAAGAAAGTAGTTGAAGAGGCAAAAGAAGTTGAGAAAGTTGAGGATGCAAAGAAAGTAGTTGAAGAAACAAAAGAAAATGAATTAAATCAACCGAAAAAAGAGGTTAAGTTATGAGAGAGAGTAGAAAATAATAAAGTGATGGGGGATGATTCAGATGGTAGTGGGCTTGACTCTTTAATCGAGGAAAATTAATAGATAAAAAATGATCATGACGGAATATGTCTCAACAAATTTCATAAATGATCT